TTCTTGGCCAAGAGTTTGAAATGACTCCTGACACACTGGATGGGCAACATTATTTTAGTTGGTAAACACCCAGATGAAAAAATACTATAGTATACTATGGTATAAATACTATATTATTCACTGTAGTATTCAATGTAGTGTTTTTGCGGACTAAATTCTGACCTGAAGAAAGACTACTGCACCTTATTCCTCCCTCTTCCTCCCCAACTTACAGCACCACCATCTATTCCAGGAAACTAAGAGATTTACTTGTACTGTATACTAAGTAGCTGTGACACGTTCCTTAGGTATGAAGAGAATGTAACCCTTAAGTAGCTGTGCCAAATTCCTTGGGTATGAAGAGAATGTGACCATTCAGGCTGTGCACCCACTCAGTATAACTTGTTCTTTTACCGTGCTCCTTTTCCAAACATCACAAACATTTCCACAATAATCAGAATAATGCTGTCTCCACCACACTGTACAAAACGTACAATTGTATGGATACACACACACACACGCACACACCCCTAATCCTACTGTATAAAGGTAATGCTAGAGCCAATCAAAAACACTTGACTTTCCTTTGAGGCTCAGTCACTGTGGGTGGATGGCCTGGATTTGATATGTGTGATGTTCAGTCTATTGGTAATTTGGACTAACTACTGATTGTACAGTTGAAGTCAGAAGTTTACATACATTTTAGCCAAATACATTTAAAAACTCAGTTTTTCACAATTCCTGACATTTAATCCTAGTAAATATTCCCTGTCTTAGGTCAGTTAGGATCACCACTTTATTTTAAGAATGTTAAATGTCAGAATAATAGTAGAGAGAATGATTTATTTCAGCTTTTATTTCTTTCATCACATTATTATTTGGTAGCATTGCCTTTAAATTGTTTAACTTGGGTCGAACGTTTTGGGTAGCCTTCCACAATAAGTTGGGTGAATTTTGGTCCATTCCTCCTGACAGAGCTGGTGTATGTCAGATTGCGACGTGAATGCGGTAGGCAAAGTCAAACGCAGGACACCAAGCTACTGGAAACAATATTTTACTAACAAAGTAACCAGAATACAAAACAACCTCCAAACAGGGAGGGGAAATACCCGCACACTAGCAACTGCCGAAAATGACGAGAACAATCACACACAACACACAATGAACGACAGAGGGTTAAATAGGGAATACAATACAACATAATAGGAAACAGGTGTACACAATCAAGACACAAACAAGTCAAACACAGAAACATAGATCGGTGGCTGCTAGTACTCCGGGGACGACGAACGCCGAAGCCTGCCCGAGCAAGGAGGAGCAGCAGCCTCGGCTGATTCCGTGACAGTGTAACTGAGTCAGGTTTGTAGGCCTCCTTGCTCGCACACGCTTTTTCAGTTCTGCCCACAAATCTTCTACAGGATTGAGGTCAGGGCTTTGTGATGGCCACTCCAATACCTTGACTTTGTGGTCCTTAAGCCATTTTGCCACAACTTTGGAAGTATGCTTGGGGTAATTGTCCATTTGGAAGACCCATTTGCGACCAAGCTTTAACTTCCTGACTGATGTCTTGAGATGTTGCTTCAATATATCCACATAATTTTCCTTCCTCATGATGCCATCTATTTTGTGAAGTGCCCCAGTCCCTCCTGCAGCAAAGCACCCCCACAGCATGATGCTGCCACTCCCGTGCTTCACGGTTGGGATGGTGTTCTTCGGCTTGCAAGCAACCCCCTTTTTCCTCCGAACATAGCAATGGTCATTATGGCCAAACAGTTCTATTTTTGTTTCATCAGACCAGAGGACATTTCTCCAAAAAGTACGATCTTTGTCCCCATGTGCAGTTGCGAACCGTAGTCTGGCTTTTTAATGGCGGTTTTGGAGCAGTGGCTTCTTCCTTGCTGAGCGACCTTTCAGGTTATGTCAATATAGGACTCATTTTACTGTGGATATAGATACTGTAGTGTCGAGAAAATAATGCTAATTATGCTGTGAGAACAAGGAAATCCGCTGACACTGTCCTCGATTATAATTATTTATTACATTTGAAGATCTCAGCGCCAGTTTACAGACATCTGCAGACATCTGGAGAATAACCGAACCCAATCTCTAAATATGTTATTCTCCCCTCCTTTGTCCCAAACCATAGTATACAGTGGGGGGGGGGGGAAGAATTGAGTCAGCCACCAATTGTGCAAGTTCTCCCACTTAAAAAGATGAGAGAGGCCTGTAATTTTCATCATAGGTACAAGTCAACTATGACAGACAAATTTCGGAGAAAAAATCCAGAAAATCACATTATAGGATTTTTAATGAATTTATTTGCAAATTATGGTGGAAAATAAGTATTTGGTCACCTACAAACAAGCAAGATTTCTGGCTCTCACAGACCTGTAACTTCTTCTTTAAGAGGCTCCTCTGTCCTCCACTCGTTACCTGTATTAATGGCACCTGTTTGAACTTGTTATCAGTATAAAAGACACCTGTCCACAACCTCAAACAGTCACACTCCAAACTCCACTATGGCTAAGACCAAAGAGCTGTCAAAGGACACCAGAAACAAAATTGTAGACCTGCACCAGGCTGGGAAGACTGAATCTGCAATAGGTAAGCAGCTTGGTTTGAAGAAATCAACTGTGGGAGCAATTATTAGGAAATGGAAGACATACAAGACCACTGATAATCTCCCTCGATCTGGGGCTCCATGCAAGATCTCACCCCGTGGGGTCAAAATGATCACAAGAACGGTGAGCAAAAATCCCAGAACCACACGGGGGGACCTAGTGAATGACCTGCAGAGAGCTGGGACCAAAGTAACAAAGCCTACCATCAGTAACACACTACGCCGCCAGGGACTCAAATCCTGCAGTGCCAGACGTGTCCCCCTGCTTAAGCCAGTACATGTCCAGGTCCGTCTGAAGTTTGCTAGAGTGCATTTGGATGATCCAGAAGAGGATTGGGAGAATGTCATATGGTCAGATGAAACCAAAATAGAACTTTTGGGTAAAAACTCAACTCGTCGTGTTTGGAGGACAAAGAATGCAGAGTTGCATCCAAAGAACACCATACCTACTGTGAAGCATGGGGGTGGAAACATCATGCTTTGGGGCTCTTTTTCTGCAAAGGGACCAGGACGACTGATCCGTGTAAAGGAAAGAATGAATGGGGCCATGTATCATGAGATTTTGAGTGAAAACCTCCTTCCATCAGCAAGGGCATTGAAGATGAAACGTGGCTGATTTCTTTTGATTTTCCCATGATGTCAAGCAAAGAGGCACTGAGTTTGAAGGTAGGGCTTGAAATACATCCACAGGTACACCTCCAATTGACTCAAATGATGTCAATTAGCTTATCAGAAGCTTCTAAAGCCATGACATCATTTTCTGGAATTTCCCAAGCTGTTTAAAGGCACAGTCAACTTAGTGTATGTAAACTTCTGACCCACTGGAATTGTGATACAGTGAATTATAAGTGAAATAATCTGTCTGTAAACAATTGTTGGAAATATTACTTGTGTCATGCACAAAGTAGATGTCCTAACCGACTTGCCAAAACTATAGTTTGTTAACAAGAAATTTGTGGAGTGGTTGAAAAACACGTTTTAATGACTCCAACCTAAGTGTATGTAAATATCCGACTTCTACTGTACATATATACGTTTGTGCTTTTAATAAATATTTACAACTGACACACTGTTGAATACAGATACTATCAGCAAATCCTGTTTTGTGTGTCATGATGAGAAAGATGAGGCCACTAGAGGGTAATGTTCAGTTGTCTTTGACCAGAGACATCTTTGGGTAGGAGTTCCCTTTAGACACAGATCTAGGGTCAGCACTGCTTTCCTTCCCAAAAGTCTAATCTAAACCATGAAGGAGATACAAAACTGACCTCAGATTATTGTCTAGCAGAACCTTCATCCTACTCCAACGCCAAATTCAGTGCACATGGCCCATAAGGATGCAAGCCCCCTCCCAGAATTCAGGAATCACTGACCAGTCTCAAGCAGGACAAACGGTAGTAGATTAGACTCTAGACATCACCAGTGGCTAGTGGTTACTAGCAGGTTGCTGTGTACCCAAGAAATCAGGAGAAGACTGCATTCACCTTGCCCTGTGGGCTCTGTAGGCTGGTGCAGTCGTCAATTAATTGTTTCAAGGACAAAATTACATGATATTTAACTCTGTATTTGTTGTAGTGGGGACAGTAACATTAGTACTCTCAAAAAATTCAACTTTTGGAAAATGTTTTAATACATATATTTTTTTTATGTTCATTTCACATACTATAATTTAAAAGTATGCATTAATGTGTCTGTAATATAATATTTCTCTATAGCTTTTCAATGGTGGAGGAGTAAAAAAAAAAGTTTTCAAAACAGCGCCTCCTATCAGTCATCTAGGGTATATTATACACATCACATTTCCATTTTAGTCATTTAGCAGACTACGTATTTTCACCCCAATATAATAACATCCTGTAAAAACATCCTGTAAACATCCACAGATAATAAATACATCTAGAAAGTAAACACAAGCGTTTAATATATTGTATAGATCAATACAAACAAAGGTAATTAAAATACATATTTATTTTACTTATTTGTATTATTTTTCAAGCATAGGTTTATAGTACAGTAATTAATCATAGAGGTAGTGGAAACATCATTATAAGCATCATCATTATGATTGTCCAGCTCCCCTACCCATTCCCCAAAGTACCTTGAGTCAGTATGTGTGATCTCTAACAGCAGCAGGATCTGGGTCTTTGCGTGTCCAGCCCCCATACCCTTTCCCAACCACTGTGGAGTGAATGTCAGTACTATGTGTCTGTGCTATGTGCAGTCAACTAGTATAATTAGTGTTTGTGAAGTAAATATGGTTATTATTATTAAGGTTATGGTCTTCTGCGATACAAACAAGTATACAACAAACCAGATAACTATACAATTAAGCAACAAAAGGAAATAAAGTAATTAGAAGAAAAAAAATTAACAATAAGTCATCAAATGTATAATATGTTTAGGTTGCTTCGGGACTAATGAGTCTGCAGTTTTATTTTATCGGTGATCTTTTCCATTAAATACATTTATTTCACTCTACAAGCCCACTCTTCCATAGTAAGAATGTCCTTATTTAACCAATTTGCTGTAATACATGTCTTTGCAGCAGTGGTGTGTATTCATGAATGCCAAGGGAAGCCAGGCTTCCCCCAAAAAAGGAATATTACATCCTGTGTTGTGATAGTTGCGTTGTTTGCTCTATAATGTTAGTTCATATGCCTTGCCACCGTGATATATAGGCCTAAGGCTGAGACAAGAAAACACAAGCTAGGTTTCCATCCAATTGGCGACAGATTTTCATACGAATATTCAAAAATCAGAATATAAAAACAATATGTGCTTTTTCCCACCAGAGATGTGTTTCCATCAAATTGACTTGTTGCAGATAAAAGGCTGTGCGTGATGACATAGTGCACATTAAAATACCTTTTGTGGTTAAATGGGTTAAAATGTTAAATGGGTTTCTATCACATTTTTTTCCTCTACTGATGGTTTTCTAACAAAAACAATGGGTGTTATATAGCGAGTGTGCCCACTCTGGTATTGGCATGTGTGCTCTTGCCAACAGAGCAACAGGTATCTGCGCACTGTTGGCTAGAACACACATATAGCCTACATGATGAGATTATTATGGACAAAAAATAGGGAGATTATTTTTATTTGTCAAAAAGCAGCCAAGCATTGATGATCATGTCACCAGAATAAGACCCTATAGCCTACGCTCCAAAATGCAACGTGGTTTGAGGAGATCACTGACATTTTGCCAAGGCAGAGATGAGTGGCCCAATTGTATTAAATATGTAAATCAAAATGGGAGGTTGGGGTTCAGGAGGCAAACAAAGAGGATTGTCTTTTACACTGCCTCCTCAACCCCAACCGCTCATTTTCCACCTCATTTGGATCAGTGAGTAGTCATTTGCCTGGTCTCCAAGGTACCAACCACTGCACCAGTCTCTGAAAGGTTGTTGGTGCATTATAGAGTCTGAATGGCATGTTCTAGGACTGGTAGAGTCCACAGGGCAAGGTGAATGCAGTGTTCTCCTGATTTCCTGGTCCCTACCCTGAAACAGCTCTAGTAAAAGACAGCTGAACATCGCCACCTAGTGGCCTTACAACCTCTCCTTCGCATGATAAATACCACACTGAATACAGATATAATAGGCAAATCGCTTTTTCTAAACACACAACAGTGTGTCAGTTGTAAATATTTATTAAAAACACACACGTATATCAGTCAGAAACAGTCAAGTAAATCCAAATTGCTCAGACACTACCCAGGGAAAATTCTAAGTAAAATAAGTATAGCTAGGCGGCTAAAGACCACACATACAGTTTAAGTCTGAAGTTTACATACACCTTAGCCAAATACATTTAAACTCAGTTTTTCACAATTCCTGACATTTAATCCTAGTAAAAATTCCCTGTTTTACGTCAGTTAGGATCACCACTTTATTTTAAGAATGTGAAATGTCAGAATTATAGTAGAGAGAATAATTTATTTCAGCTTTTATTTCATTCATCACATTCGTAGTGGGTCAGACGTTTACATACACTCAATTAGTATTTGGTTGCATTGCCTTTAAATTGTTTAACTTGGGTCAAACGTTTCGGCTAGCCTCCCACAAGCTTCCCACAATAAGTTGGGTGAATTTTGGCCCATTCCTCCTGACAGAGCTGGTGTAACTGAGTCAGGTTTGTAGGCCTCCTTGCTCGCACACGCTTTTTCAGTTCTGCCAACACATTTTATATAGGATTGAGGTCAGGGCTTTGTGATGGCCACTCCAATACCTTGACTTTGTTGTCCTTAAGCCATTTTGCCACAACTTTGGAAGTATGCTTGGGGTCATTGTCCATTTGGAAGACCCATTTGCGACCAAGCTTTAACTTCCTGACTGATGTCTTGAGATGTTGCTTCAATATATCCACATTATTTTCCTTCCTCATGATGCCATCTATTTTGTGAAGTGCACCAGTCCCTCCTGCAGCAAAGCACCCCCACAGCATGATGCTGCCAACCCCATGCTTCATGGTTGGGATGGTGTTCTTCGGCTTGCAAGCGTCCCCCTTTTTCCTCCAAATATAACAATGGTCATTATGGCCAAACAGTTATATATTTGTTTCATCAGACAAGAGGACATTTCTCCAAAAAGTAAGATCTTTGTCCGCATGTGCAGTTGCAAACCGTAGTCTGGCTTTTTTATGGTGGTTTTGGAGCAGTGGCTTCTTCCTTGCTGAGCGGCCTTTCAGGTTATGTCGATATAGGACTTGTTTTACTGTGGATATAGATACTTTTGTTCCTGTTTCCTCCAGCATCTTCACAAGGTCCTTTGCTGTTGTTCTGGGATTGATTTGCACTTTACGCACCAAAGTACGTTCATCTCTAGGAGACGCGTCTCCTTCCAGAGTGGTATGACGGCTGCGTGGTCCCATGGTGTTTATACTTGCGTACTATTGTTTGTACAGATGAACGTGGTACCTTCAGGCATTTGGAAATTGCTCCCAAGGATGAACCAGACTTGTGGAGGTCTACAATCTTTTTTCTGAGGTCTTGGCTGATTTTTTATTTTATTTTTCCCATCATGTCAAGCAAAGAGGCACTGAGTTTGAAGGTAGGCCTTGAAATACATCCACAGGTACACCTCCAATTGACTCAAATGATGTCAATTAGCCTATCAGATGCTTCTAAAGCCATGACATCATTTCCTGGAATATTCCAAGCTGTTTAAAAGGCACAGGCAACTTAGTGTATGTAAACTTCTGACCCGCTGGAATTGTGATACAGTGAATTATAAGTGAAATAATCTGTCTGTAAACAATTGTTGGAAAAATTACTTGTGTCATGCACAAAGTAGCTGTCCTAACCGACTTGCCAAAACGAAGTGTATGTAAACTTCCGACTTCAACTGTAGAACCCAGGCCGTCAACCCAGAGTGACTGAGCCTTATAGGAAAGACAACAAATGTTTTTATTGGCTGTAGCATGGCATTTATGTGTCTGTGAGTGTGTGCGCATGCGTATGTTAGTGATGCGTGGTTGACTCAACCTGCAGTTATATACACGGAGCGGCGGGATTAGGGTCAGGAAATATTGTATGGATGAAGCGCGGGTTGGTGGCTGGTGGGTTGAATAATGAGAAAACAATGCATTAACATTCATATCTATAGGCTACATATATGTTTTTATTTAATAACTTGTATCTGCTGTTAGTGTGTAGCCTAAACTTTAGGGCCTAACTATAGAGCGCCAAATAGGCCTACACGCCAATTGCGAACTTCTTTTGGGAACTTGGGCATAAAAAGTTAACGTAGATCCACTGAGGCAAAAAGGACAATGTCGGAGTTTAATTCAATAAGAGAAAAGCTGCGAAATAGAGAGTTGAAAATAAATAGAAGGGAGGGCCAGAACAGTAGTCTAACGTTTGGGAAAATGTTGGTAAAGTGGTAAAAGAGGATGACAGCAGTGTGAGCCTCTATACAAATTCGACAGTCACAATACAGATATTTCCAAATGGCATGTGAAGGCAACTGTACTGTTCAGATGGGTTAAATGGAATAGTAGCCTAACTGAAATCTGGACTCTGACTGTAGGTCTATAACCTCCCACATAGCCTTATATAATATTAAGTCCTGCAGAATTAAGAATTTCATGCAGTAAAATTATACACAACATTTTGACTCGGGAACAGGAGTAGAGAAATAGGATGTACAGTGCATTCGGAAAGTATTCAGACCGCTTGACTTTCTCCACATTTTGTTACGTTACAGACTTCATTCTAAAATGTTCTCATCAATCTACACACAATAACCCATATTGACTAAGTGAAAAGAGGTTTTTAGAGATTTTAGGAAATGTAAAATAAAATAAGAAATATAAATACCTTATTTACATAATATTCAGATCCTTTGCTATGAGCCTCGAAATTGAGCTCAGGTGCATCCTGTTCCCATTGATCATCCTTGAGATGTTTCTACAACTTGATTGGAGTCCACCTATGGTAAATTCAATTGATTGGACATGATTTGGAAAGACACACACTTGTCTATATAAGGTCCCACAGTTGACAGTGCATGTCAGAGCAAAAACCAAGCCATGAGGTCGAAGGAATTGTCCGTAGAGCTCCAAGACAGGATTGTGCCGAGGCACAGATCTTGGTAAGGGTACCCAAAGAACTTCGGAAACATTGAAGGTCCCCAAGAACATAGTGGCCTCCATCATTCTTAAATGGAAGAAGTTTGGAACCACCAAGACTCTTCCTAGAGCTGGCCGCCCGGCCAAACTGAGAAATTGGGGGAGAAGGGCCTTGGTCAGGTAGGTGACCAAGAACCTGATGGTCACTCTGACAGAGCTGCAGAGTTCCTCAGTAGAGATGGGAGAACCTTCCAGAAGGACAACCATCTCTGCAGCACTCCACCAATCAGGCCTTTATAATAGAGTGGCCAGATGGAAGCCACTCCTCAGTAAAAGGCACATGACAGCACGCTTGGAGTTTGCCAAAAGGCACCTAAAGGACTCTGACCGTGAGAAACAAGATTCTCTGGTCTGATGAAACCAAGATTGAACTCTTTGGTCTGAATGCTAAGCGTCACATCTGGAGGAAACCTGGCATCATCCCTATAGTGAAGCATGGTGGTGGCAGCATCATGCTGTGGGGATGTTGTTCAGCGGCAGGGACTGAGAGACTAGTCAGGATAGAGGTAAATATGAACTGAGCAAAGTACAGAGAGATCCTTGATGAAAACCTGCTCCAGAGAGCTCAGGACCTCAGACTGGGGCGAAGGTTCAACTTCTAACAGGTCAACAACCCTAAGTACACAGCCAAGACAACGCAGGAGTGGGACAAGTCTCTGAATGTCTTTGAGTGGCCCAGCCAGAGCCCGGAACATCTCTGGAGAGACCTGAAAATAGCTGTGCAGCGACGCTCCCCATCCCACCGGACAGAGCTTGAGAGGATCTGCAGAGAAGAATGGGAGAAACTCCCCAAATACAGGTGTGCCAAGCTTGTACCATCATACCCAAGAAGAATCGAGGCTGTAATCGCTGCCAAAGGTGCTTCAACAAAGTACTGAGTAAAGGGTCAGAATACTTATGTAAATGTAATATTTCTGTTTGGTTTTTTTGCAAACATTTCTAAAAACCTATTTTGCTTTGTCATTATGGGGTATTGTGTGTAGATTGATGAGGGGAAAAAACTATTGAATCAATTTTAGAATAAGGCTGTAATGTAACAAAATGTGGAAAAAGTCAAGGGGTCTGAATACTTTCCGAATGCACTGTATTTTTTTCAGCATCTTGAGAGAATGAATGCACTGTTAGGGAATGTCTGTGAAGGTGGCGGTGCGATCTTTATCAGCCTCATAAAAGCTGATAGCATTTCAATCACATAAAATATGCATCCAAGCCGAACTGAAATCTCATCAAAAACATGTTGGGTCTATTTAACAGCTTATAATTTCCTAAAAACCTGTCAAACAGTTAGTTTTTTTGTTTCTCCCCAGGCCCTACATGTCTTTGCTGCGAGAGAAGCAGAGATGAAAGAGAAAACAAACATTACCGATGTCAACTAGACTGAGGCATTCATTCTATGGATTTATGACATCATTCTGGTAAAGGGTTAATTTAGTATTCTAGGGCAACTAGTAATGACAGTAGAGAAGCTGCATGTAGGCCTATCTAATGGTAAACAAGTTGACTAACAAATAACTTACCAAAATGTCAGAAATGATAAGCAGAAACATAGGCCTATCTAAGGAAAGGCCTGTCAAAAAAATTGTTCCGCCATCTGACTGTAGGCCTACAGCGCATGTTCTATATTAGAGGGTTAGGGGTCGGGTGCAGGCCTCAGATGTTCACTTTATCACATATAGTCGGGCGATTACGGATGGGTTATTAGCAATTGTGGGTGGGTGCAGATGAACAAACAGCGGAACCGCGCTTCACATGTGTGTGAGTGTGTGTAAGCGTTGGTGTGTATCAGATGTAGCGTTTGTTCTCCTCCAGGTAGGTGTAGGGGTCTCCCTCGAAGGGCAGGGGCGGAGGGTGGTTGTAGATACCCATGAGGAAGATGATGATGGTGCCTGCTGTCATGACTGGGGTGACCAGGAACAGACACAGACGGTCCACCGTACGAGCTATTCCACTCCAGTTATCCTTCTCCTACAGGAGGGAGCAGGGAGGAGGCGAGAAGAGGGGGGGGGTCAACAAGCAGTGCATTCATGTATGTCATGATCACCTTTGTTGAGCCATAATGACACACTAACACACAAGTGACTGAAGTCTTTGTTCCAGACCCAAGTCCCACTGGGGAGTTTAACATGAATAACGTATTGTATTCTATCTTGTGTTCTGTGCCTCCCTCCCTCCTTTCTCCCCCTCCCCCCTCCCCCCACCCCCTCTTTCTCTCCATCTCCCCCCTCCTCTCTCACCTCATTGTAGTCATTCTTGTCATGCATGTGTTTGACGATGTAGTTGGCTCCATCCACACCAGGCTTCATCTCAGAGTACAGCTGCTCTGTCACCTCTCCATCTGACTGGGGCTTCACCGCTACACGCACACAAAGTAAGGAATCATATACAGTTGAAGTCAGAAGTTTACATACACTTAGGTTGAAGTCATTAAAACTCATTTTTCAACCACTCCACAAATTTCTTGTTAACAAACTATAGTTTTGGCAAGTCGGTTAGGACATCTACTTTGTGAATGATGCAGGTAGTTTTTCCAACAATTGTTTACAGACAGATTATTTCACTTATAATTCACTGTATCACAATTCCAGTGGGTCAGAAGTTTACATACACTAAGTTGACTGTGCCTTTAAACAGCTTGGAAAATGACAGAAAAATGATGGCATGGCTTTAGAAGCTTCTGATAGGCTAATTGACATCATTTGAGTCATTTGGAGGTGTACCTGTGGATGTATTTCAAGGCCTACCTTCAAACTCAGTGCCTCTTTGCTTGACATCATGGGAAAATCAAAAGAAAATCAGCCAAGACCTCAGAAAAAAAATTGTAGACCTCCACAAGTCTGGTTCATCCTTGGAAGCAATTTCCAAATGCCTGAAGGTACCACGTTCATCTGTACAAACAATAGTACGCAAGTATAAACACCATGGGACCACGCAGCCGTCATACTGCTCAGGAAGGAGACGCGTTCTGTCTCCTAGAGATGAACGTACTTTGGTGCGAAAAGTACAAATCAATCCCAGAACAACAGCAAAGGACCTTGTGAAGATGCTGGAGGAAACAGGTACAAAAGTATCTATATCAACAGTAAAACGAGTCCTATATCGACATAACCTGAAAGGCTGCTCAGCAAGGAAGAAGCCACTGCTCCAAAACCGCCATAAAAAAGCCAGACTACGGTTTGCAACTGCACATGGGGACAAAGATCGTACTTTTTGGAGAAATGTCCTCTGGTCTGATGAAACAAAAATATAACTGTTTGGCCATAATGACCATTGTTATGTTTGGAGGAAAAAGGGGGTTCTTGCAAGCCGAAGAACATCATCCCAACCGTGAAGCACGGGGGTGGCAGCATCATGCTGTGGGGGTGCTTTGCTGCAGGAGGGACTGGTCAACTTCACAAAATAGATGGCATCATGAGGAAGGAAAATTATGTGGATATATTGAAGCAACATCTCAAGACATGAGTCAGGAAGTTAAAGCTTGGTCGCAAATGGGTCTTCCAAATGGACAATGACCCCAAGCATACTTCCAAAGTTGTGGCAAAATGGCTTAAGGACAACAAAGTCAAGGTATTGGAGTGGCCATCACAAAGCCCTGACCTCAATCCTATAGAAAATGTGTGGGCAGAACTGAAAAAGCGTGTGCGAGCAAGGAGGCCTACAAACCTGACTCAGTTACACTAGCTCTGTCAGGAGGAATGAGCCAAAATTCACCCAACTTATTGTGGGAAGCTTGTGGAAGGCTACCCGAAACGTTTGACCCAAGTTAAACAATTTAAAGGCAATGCTACCAAATACTAATTGAGTGTATGTAAACTTCTGACCCACTGGGAATGTGATGAAAGAAATAAAAGCTGAAATAAATAATTCTCTCTACTAGACTTGTGGAGGTCTACAATTTTTTTTCTGAGGTCTTGGCTGATTTCTTTTGATTTTCCCATGATGTCAAGCAAAGAGGCACTGAGTTTGAAGGTGGTCCTCTGTAGCTCAGCTGGTAGAGCACGGCGCTTGTAACGCCAAGGTAGTGGGTTCGATCCCCGGGACCACCCATACACAAAAATGTATGCACGCATGACTGTAAGTCGCTTTGGATAAAAGCGTCTGCTAAATGGCATATTATATTATATTATTATTCTGACATTTCACATTATTAAAATAAAGTAAGACAGGGAATTTCTACTAGGATTATGTGTCAGGAATTGTGAAAAACTGAGCTTAAATGTATTTGGCTAAGGTGTATGTAAACTTCCGACTTCAACTGTACCTTCCCGTACATAACATTCACGCTACAGAATGTGTATGTTCTCTGTGCCTATATGTGTGTGTCTACTCTGTGTACCTGCAGCAGGTGTAGTCCGTGTGGCCAGCCCATGTCTCTCAGACTGTTTCTCAAACATCAGCTCGCTGCGTGACTTCACGCTGTAGTACTCCTCCGCCTTAGCGATGTAACCAATGGAGCTAGATCGCCTTGGCAACACCCCCTCCCAGCTAGACTCTGACTCTGCAGGGCGGGACATTCGCAGCAGGCGGGGCAACCTCTCCAGGAAGAACTAGTGGATGAGAGGACACAGACACATACACAAAACCAAATCACATTTGAGTTTAAATTGCAGTTGCAGGTAGGGCTGTGGCGGTCACGAAATTTAGTCCGCCGGTGATTGTCAAGCAAATAACTGTCAGTCTCACGGTAATTGACCATGAATTAACATAAACACATTTTGCATCTCCTGGCTTCCATACATAGCCTACAAGCCACTGATGCTGACCTTTGGAACATCTACATTTTAGTCTAATAAAACCATTATTTATTTAGACAGGTCTAAAGAAGCATGATATGAAGAAAATGTAGTCTATTTCAGAAGAACAGAATAGCATACTCTCAGTTGTCCTTATGTTAGGTCCTGATCTGGGTATGCCAAATGGCTGTGGGCTACACTAGTTCATTTAGCAGACGAGATTTGCTTAGAATTCCGTGGCATTATTTTATAGTATGAAGAATACAATTGAACAAAGCTGAATAAATAGAAAGGATATTTTCTCCAAACGATTTGAGGGAGTGCGCACATGCGGCTATTCTGTGCTGAGCGGTTAACAAAGAAATAGGTATTCCTACAGTTGAAGTCGGAAGTTTACATACACCTTAGCCAAATACATTTAAACTCAGTTTTTCAAAATTCCTGACATTTAATCCTAGTAAAAATTCCCTGTTTTAGGTCAGTTAGGATCACCACTATATTTTAAGAATGTGAAATGTCAGAATAATAGTAGAGAGAATTATTTATTTAAGCTTTTACTTCTTTCATCACATTCCCAGTGGGTCAGAAGTTTACATACACTCAATTAGTATTTGGTAGCATTGCCTTTAAATTGTTTAACTTGGGTCAAACGTTTCGGGTAGCCTCCCACAAGCTTCACACAATAAGTTGGGTGAATTTTGGCCCATTCCTCCTGACAGAGCTTGTGTAACTGAGTCAGGTTTGTAGGCCTCCTTGCTCGAACACGCTTTTTCAGTTCTGCCCACACATTTTCTATAGGATTGAGGTCAGGGCTTTGTGATGGCCACTCCAATACCTTGACTTTGTTGTCCTTAAGCCATTTTGCCACAACTTTGGAAGTATGCTTGGGGTCATTGTCCATTTGGAAGACCCATTTGCGACCAAGCTTTAACTTCCTGACTGATGTCTTGAGATGTTGCTTCAATATATCCACATATTTTCCTTCCTCATGATGCCATCTATTTTGTGAAGTGCACCAGTCCCTCCTGCAGCAATGCACCCCCACAGCATGACGCTGCCACCCCCGTGCTTCATGGTCGGGATGGTGTTCTTCGGCTTGCAAGCAACCCCCTTTTTCCTCCAAACATAGCAATGGTCATTATGGCCAAACAGTTCTATAAATTGCTTCCAAGGATGAACCAGACTTGTGGAGGTCTACCATTTTTTTTCTGAGGTCTTGGCTGATTTCTTTTGATTTTCCCATGATGTCAAGCAAAGAGGCACTGAGTTTGAAGGTATGCCTTGAAATACATCCACAGGTACACCTCCAATTGACTCAAAGTATGTCAATTAGCCTATCAGAAGCTTCTAAAGCAATGACATCATTTTATGGAATTTTCCAAGCTGTTTAAAGGCACAGTCAACTTAGTGTATGTAAACTTCTGACCCACTGGAATTGTGATACAGTGAATTATAAGTGAAATATTCTGTCTGTAAACAATTGTTGGAAAAATTACTTGTGTCATGCACAAAGTAGATGTCCTAACCGACTTGCCAAAACTATAGTTTCTTAACAAGACATTTGTGGAGTGGTTGAAAAACTAGTTTTATTGACTCCAACCTAAGTGTATGTAAACTTCCGACTTCAACTGTATATGCATAATTTAGAGTTATTAATGTAACTTTAGCTGTTCTACAAACATTGGGCTACATGTTTTGATTTTTAATACATCGTAAGGCTGCATGATGCAACTCTAATGATAATTTGAAAAAAGTTGCTTGAAAGGCATGAGATCTGCTTAGTTTTTTTGCACAGGCTGTACACACTACATCAGTCACTCATTCACAATTTGACAAGCACTTGATAATGCCTCGAATTTCACGGCAGCATCCCCTTTATGTGGCCGTAATGCACACTAAAAAAATTCCATGCCTTTTGCGGTCAGTGGCCAGTGTGCCCTTCTCCCTGAGTGCTGCGCGCTCCATCACGTGATCAGGTCTTTCTCACAGGCTACAAGTGAAGACAGACACATCGGGAACGCAACTGCGCGCGTCCTTATCCAATTCCGAGGTGCATATTGAAGATATTGGAAGAACTGTCCACATTTACTTTTCGTCAGCCAACAAGATGAGTAGGCCTAACGAACAGCAAAAGCACTAGCCTATGTCAATCTACTATCCCCCATAGTACAAAAGTCGACCTATTCTATTCTGTGTGAGACATAAAATTCCAAACATAGTCTGGGACAGTTGTGGGATGTGATAGATCCCAAATTAATAAAACCACTAGCATCAAAAAACGTTTTTTACGCAATGTGACTGTGCGCATTGCTGCGCTTATAATGTGAAGAAATAGCCTAATAGTTTATCAACATTTTAAGCTAAACGTTCTGATCTGTTGCGTAACAGATCAGAACGTTTAGCTTAAAATGTTGATAAACTATTAGGCTATTTCTTCACATTATAAGCTCAGCAATGCACACATGGTGGTAGGCTATAATCGTGAATGTTACTTTAGCTGAAAACACCATTATCAAAAGTGACCGCAAATGCAATTACGCTTTTATTATAAAGGTGCATTTATATGGTGAAAATTATCCTCCCCAAACTTGAAACGCATGTGCTGCTTATGTATGCCAGTTAGGCTCTACACCCCTTGTAAAGCGGATGAATGTGCTTAATTTTAAGAAGTTATTTGGCCACTTTAGTTGTGATACAAATCTTATTAAAACATATAGGTGTGCGACTATGATTAGAAAAAGTCGTTAAAAAAAGGCATTGTTTCTTATGCTGGGCATCATTCACAAGTGATAATATATAATTCACAAGTGATAGGCTAATATTGTCACTCATCAGACTTTTCTTGATTTAATCATGTCTTTACATACACTAACTAATATGTGTGAAATTTGTTTTGATTTAGAATGGACCATTATCATGCACCTGTATCGAAACAGGGGCAGCGGGAAAAAATACGTCATCTATGCACTTAAATAGCAAATGGAGGACGCTTTTCCCCATGGTTTATTTTCATGCCAGCCAGGTAGGCTATACTCCTGTTGTAAATATAAGCAGTGTGCTTAATATTAGGAAAGTTGAAAAATAAATATAGTAGGCCTAGCCTATAGAAAGCTGATCCTCCTCTTTTCAGCACAGGCCATCACTCTGTTTTCTCGCGCAATTGCATAGCCTATTGAAATGTTGCGCAACATGAGCTCATGGGCTCTCATGAAGTGTTTGATTAGATTTTCGAAAACATTTGCATTGATGTCAGAGTGATTAGAGGGACAATAGAGTGCTGAGTACCAGGCAGTTAGCAAGTTTGGTAGGCTACTAATGACCATCAGCAGCATCCTTGCACTCAGAATGTCCAGAGAAGTTCCAGATGTGTAGTCTGTGTGTACCTTTCTAGTCCACTCTGTCATGATATGTGTACTGGGGCTCCTGAAGTGCAGGTTGAGGACCACCACACAGTGCAACACCACCACCGTAACCAGAACCATGATGAACATCAGATACCTACACACAAACACACACGCATGCACACACACACATTGACACAGACACAAACAAATACACATAAACACACCATGATGAACATGGGGATCCTAATAAATCAAAATCAAACAACTGGTACCTGACAGTCTGCAACACAACCACACAAACAGTATGTCTATGAAACACAAACACATACAAAAAGGGTGTGAAAAGGTGTGTGTCCTACTTGACAATAAGTGGTATAGCCATGGAGGTCTCCGGCAGTCTCTGTGAGATCAGCAGCAGGAACACAGACTGAGCCAGCAGCACCGAGATGGACAGAGTCATCTTCTCCCCACCTAGACACACACACGGTAATCACTGTGGACGTAGTGTGGTGGTTAGGTAGTAAGGTCAGGGTTCATGATAAAGGCCAGGGGTATACTTACTGTCAGCTGGTAAGTAGTAGACCAGTGTAGCCATGAAGGAGATGAGGACACAGGGAATGATGATGTTGACGATATAGAACAGAGGTTTGCGTTTGATGATGAGATAGAAGGTGATGTCCTGGTGCTTGTTGCTCTCCATGGGGATATTCTTATAGGTGTTCCTACGGGCCGGTTTATGGATGATCTCCCACTCTCCATTCTCTATAGGGGGAGGGAGGGATGAGAGGGAGTGAGTAGTGAAAGAGAGGTTTATATACTGGCATTTCTATGGGCTGGCTTATGGATGATCCAGCAGTGTGTGTGTACCTGTGAACCCTGCAGGGTCTATGATAATCCACTCCACCTTGTAGGACTTGTCATCTTCCGGCTCCTCTTTCAGCAGCATGGTGATCTCCTTAGCATTGTAGGTCAGGGAGCTGCATCACGGGAAACAGAGTTTTACATGTGTGTGTGTGCATGCCTGCGTTTGTGTGTGCTTTTGTGTGTATGTGTGTGTGCGTTTGGGTGTGTGTGTGTGGGGGGGGGGGGGGGGGGGGGGGTCAGACCCTGTCTTACGTGAACTTGAGGCTGCAGTTCTGCCAGTCGAAGGGGAAGTAGTTGACGTTGATGGCACAGGAGGATCTGAAGATGGCTGGAGGCAGCCAGTACACATAGCCATCAGGATTGATCAACACGTTACAGTAGTACGCCACCTGGAACTGGGCATCGTTACTGACACACACACACATCAATATATTAGAGTAGTAAACCGTCTGGAACTGGGGATTGTAAGACAGGGGAGAGAGAAAGCAGAACAGACACAGAGAAGATGAGTGTGTGTTACTTGTTCTCTAAGACGATCTCCGGCAGCCACACCATGCTGGGCGGGAGACGCAGGACATCGATGTCATCAAACTCAGTGGTGTTCCAAGACAGCCTGGTGTCATACCAGCCCTGGACACACACAGTGAATAATGTGAGCGTGTCTGTGAATAGGAAACTGTTATAGATGTATTATATTTATAGAGATACACAGTGATAAGACCTCAACTACCTCAACTAGCCGGTGCCCCCGCACATTGACTCTGCAACGGTACCCCCCTGTATATATAGCCTCCCTACTGTTATTTTATTTTACTTCTGCTCTTTTTTTTCTCAACACTTTTTTTGTTGTTGTTTTATTTTTACTTTTTTTGTTAAAAATAAATGCACTGTTGGTTAAGGACTGTAAGTAAGCATTTCACTGTGATGTCTGCACCTGTTGTATTCGGCGCATGTGACCAATACAATTTGATTTGATTTGATTTGAAGATCAACTGGTTGAAGTAAAGCAGAAGAATATACTCACATGTTCCATCCACACATTGGTCAGCAGAGTCTCAGTTACCTCTTTCTACGGAGAGAGCGAGAGAGAGTTACTAGAGACCAGGCAGTGTCTGTTTTTCTACATTCTCCAGGTAGTTCAGGCTGACTGGATCATGGCCCTCTCTGTGACATCCATCCATGAGGATCAGACTGGGCTATTAATAACACACACACAGGGGGGCAGAGGGCCCAGAAACACCACACAAACGCATACCAGTCAGAAACACATTGACACACACACAGAGTGGTCATACCAGAGAGATGAGGTTAGAGAGTGTGAGGGCGATGTAGACAACGACAGCGTCGCCCTGTTTTTCTACAGGCCGGAGGTCCTTGTTGTAAGCCTTCTCCTTAAACAGGTGTTGAATCAACCGCTCTTCCTCATTCCTGGCCAAGCACTCTGATACACACACAAACACACACACACACACACACACACACGGACGAGTCAATGCACAGATACATTCATTATAGGCTACGAACAGCAATATTCATAGGATTGAATAATAATAGACTACTTGTATTAAATAGCCCACATAGTAGCCTCAATCCAATGGAGTAGCCCTTTCCTGCAGTCAAATGACCTGGTGGCCTCATGGGTCGAATGTTATTCATATTTTTCATAATTAATAAACATAGATAAATAAAATAAACAATGAAAATCCAGTGTTTCTATGTAAAAGTTTTGTTATATTTCAGTCTTCTGTGATGTACAGTATATAAAGGGTAATATTGAGATGCAAACTCAAAATGTAATACATTTTAACTCTATATCTGACATGGTACAGGTGTCTTTTTTTAAAGCCCATAACCATGTGTGTGAGGTGTATACTTTTGTTTCAAAGTAGATTTGTTTAAGACTACCAAGAAACACTCTGTGTGACCCTGATTTAGCCCACTGCAGTAAAAGGTTATAAGAAGTCTTGGACATTGAACGAGTGTGTGTAGTAAATCATTGGCCTAATACTGGTCATAACTCACTTTTAGGCTACAATTAGGCATCGGCTACTGAAAATATAGGCTACTTTCAATACAACATGTTGGAGTATCAACGTTATTTTGGGAATAAATAGCCCTAATTGAACAAAAAAGTCTAGCCAATATGCTCACAAGAAAAAACAAACTTGTTAACACTTCAAAGGACTTACCGGTTACAAGGACCGCGAACAGAACCAGGGCTCCAGGTCCCAATAGACGGAGGTTCATGGCTGCTTGGCACCGGACAGACTCTGGAACGTACAAAAAGTTATCTGTTCTGTCCTTGTGCTCGTGAAGTGACCCCCGGAGCCATGAGTGGCGGGAACAGGTGGAGAAACAGGCCAGGGTAGGAAATAGACACGCGATCCCCCACTTCCGCCACAGAGATACGGGATAGGGGGTAGGGCGTGTGAAAGAGAGAAAGTATGTAAGGGGACACAGGACACTTATGAGCTTTGCTTCACTAATGTGTGGCCTTCCTTGCAATGAATTTACAGAAATGGTTCCTGCATTACAGATACATTCATTGAGGAGTGCAGAGTATAAAGCGCAATTATAGGCCTACCGAGTCCCTTTACAGTACTGTAGGTTTTGGATGGGTAATTTGGACGTGTATAAAACTCCCCTTCATTGTAATGTACCTCCCTGTGAGCTTTGTCTACTGCAGACTTTGCTAAGAGGTCTCGACTTCGATAACAGGTCAGGTTCTGGTTGCTGGTTTAAACCCCGCTCCAGTTGTTCCCACTATGTCACTACAGAAGGTCTATAGGAGTTTGATCAAATCATGAATACACTGATCATCTGACCAGTAAATATTTATTTCAACATCAATACAGTGGACAGTAAAACAGAGGCAGCCCACTGGGCACACACTGGTTGAATCAACGTTATTTCCATGTAATTTCAATGAAATTACATTGAACCTACGTGGAATAGACGTTGAATTGACATCTGTGCCCAGTGGGAGGGCTTGACATTAACTTTTGTCCCTCGGACATGCTGGACAGATTTTTTACTTGTCCGAAAGCTGAAGTCACTTGTCCCACCAAGAAAAAAAGGTCTGTAACACCATCGGCTAAAAGGGTGACGGAAAATGGGTGAAGTACATAGGAGGGATCTGAAAGAAAAAACTCTGCGCTTGCCCATAGACGATGTTGTCACCCCCTAGCGGCCATCCCCCCAAAAGTTTAAAATAAATAAATAAAAAGACTGCTACACATTTGGGGATGAGAGGAATCATGACATTGACAAAATATATTTAGGTCGAAATGTACACAATTGTTACCCAGAGGAAAATGAGGGTCATGCTTTATAAATTTCAGTCAGGGGAGGGTTTAGTATTTTTTATTTAGACCGTAATTTGTAATCGATTAACAAACCTAACGCAATGGTAAATCTAAGCTCTGATGGTAGCGCTATAGGTTCGGGGGTGTGTCCGAAATATTTGTGCTATTTTCATAACCAATAATGATCAGCGCAGTGCTGGTGTAACCGATGCTGCTGTACTGCACCTCTGTGTTGTGTGTGATTGATTGAGACTAAAGACGTGGACTTCGGAGATCAGGTTGTTTTAACGTATCAGAGTTCTCTCTCCAGCATCCAAAAGAAAAGACAACACATTTGTAGAGCATAAATATGTTCTGCCAATCGTCGCCTCTCTCTCGCCTAGTGCATCAACATTATTTTAGAATACAAATGTGAGTACAGCCTCTCCTTATAATGTATTAACACACATCATACATTTTACATAGATAAAACCACATGCCTGAATCCAAAAGAAAAGACAAAACATTTATAGAGTGCAAATATGTTCTGGCAATCGTTGCCTCTCTACAACAGACGCACAATACAAAGGACTGGGATCAGTGGAGGAGCTAGCCATCGTTCACACATACAATACCTTAGCTAGCTAGTAACTACATGTTGAATTCAGAATGTTAATATCTTTCTAAAAAGTACAATAACAACTGCATCTTGACAATACCATCCCCTTATGAGTAAACTCTAAATATACAACAAAATTCATGAACAAAACACTGTGTCATGAGTTTGTGCTTAATGTGATACCCCCCATGTAGCTATAGCTCAAACACAGACCAAATCGGAGCTTAACATTACCTTGTAAGATGTTTGCTGTTGGGTGAAAACGTTGTGTAAAATAAACATTTTGACTCTGGGGCTGGTGAGCAATAACGATAGGTCACAGGCAGACAAATAAGATATCCTCATGATCTGTGGAGTCCCGGTTTTCGGTGTGTATCGACGTATTCCGTGTTTATTTAGTTTATGCTTCACAACGTTAACCAGAATGTAAACTCAGCAAAAAAAGAAACGTCCTCTCACTGTCAACTGTGTTTATTTTCAGCAAACTTAACATGTGTAAATATTTGTATGAACATAACAAGATTCAACAACTGAGACATAAACTGAACAAGTTCCACAGACATGTGACTAACAGAAATGGAATAATGTGTACAAAGGGGGGGTCAAAATCAAAAGTAACAGCCAGTATCTGGTGTGGCCACCAACTGCATTAAGTACTGCAGTGCATCTCCTCCTCATGGACTGCACCAGATTTGCCAGTTTTTGCTGTGAAATGTTACCCCACTCTATCACCAAGGCACCTGCAAGTTCCCGGACATTTCTGGGGGGAATGGCCCTAGCCATCACCCTCCGATCCAACAGGTCCCAGACTTGCTCAATGGGATTGAGATCCGGGCTCTTCGCTGGCCATGGCAGAACCCTGACATTCCTGTCTTGCTGGAAATCACGCACAGAACGAGCAATATGGCTGGTGACATTGTCATGCTGGAGGGTCATGTCAGCATGAGCCTGCAGGAAGGGTACCACATGAGGGAGGAGGATGTATTCCCTGTAACGCACAGCGTTGCGATTGCCTGCAATAACAACAAGCTCAGTCCGATGATGCTGTGACACACCGCCCCAGACCATGACGGACCCTCCACCTCCAAATCGATCCCACTCCAGAGTACAGGCCTCGGTGTAACGCTCATTCCTTCGACGATAAACGCAAATCTGACCATCACCCCTGGTGAGACAAAACCACGACTCGTCAGTGAAGAGCACTTTTTGCCAGTCCTGTCTGGTCCAGCGACGGTGGGTTTGTGCCCATAGGCGACGTTGTTGCCGGTGATGTCTGGTAAGGACCTGCCTTACAACAGGCCTACAAGCCCTCAGTCCAGCCTCTCTCAGCCTATTACGGACAGTCAGCACTGACGGAGGGATTGTGCGTTCCTGGAGTAACTCGGGCAGTTGTTGTTGCCATCCTGTACCTGTCCCACAGGTGTGATGTTCGGATGTACCGATCCTGTGCAAGTGTTTACACGTGGTCTGCCACTGTGAGGACGATGAGCTGTCCATCCTGTCTCCCTATAGTGCTGTCTTAGGCGTCTCACAGTACGGACATTGCAATTTATTTCCCTGACCACATCTGCAGTCCTCATGCCTCCTTGCAGCATGCCTAAGGCACGTTCACGCAGATGAGCAGAGACCCTGGGAATCTTTCTTTTGGTGTTTTTCAGAGTCAGTAGAAAGGACTCTTTAGTGTCCTAAGTTTTCATAACTGTGACCTTAATTGCCTACTGTCTGTAAGCTGTTAGTGTCTTAACGACTGTTCCACAGGTGCATGTTCATTAATTGTTTATGGTTCATTGAACAAGCATGGGAAACAGTGTTCAAATAACTTCACAGATCTTCATTGTAAAGGGTTTAGATTTTTACTAATTATCTTTGAAAGACAGGGTCCTGAAAAAGGGACATTTCTTTTTTTGCTGAGTTTAGGTAGCAGCCATCTTGAAATGTGGTCATCGGCTCAGTCTGCCCTTATAAACTTGTATGCCCGTATATGGTAGTAAATCATACAAAAAATGTGAAGGTACCGATCAATAGCCAAGAAGCTTTCCGCAGACACCCTGCTTTTGCAGATAGGGCCTACCGTTCTCATACCAGACTGAATTGAATAAAAACATTATACATTTAAGAGGATAAAGGAATCTAACTTTTCTGAAGACGACAGAAAAAGCGTGCCTACCTCCTCTAGTAGATCAAAATTATTTGAGCCCGAGCACACAGGGCAAAACGTAAGTACACACTCCCCTATTCCCCAGGGTGCAGGCACGCGTAATAACAAATCAACATGCTATATTAATATACAGTTTAAGTTTGAAGTTTACATACACTTAGGTTGGAGTCATTAAAACTAGTTTTTCAACCACTCCACAAATTTCTTGTTAACAAACTATAGTTTTGGCAGGTCGGTTAGGACATCTACTTTGTGCATGACACAAGTAATATTTCCAACAATTGTTTACAGACAGATTATTTCCCTTATAATTCACTGTATCACAATTCCAGTGGGTCAGAAGTTTACATACACTAAATTGACAGTGCCTTTAAACAGCTTGGAAATTCCAGAAAATGATGTCATGGCTTTAGAAGCTTCTGATAGGCTAATTGACATAATTTGAGTCAATTGAAGGTGTACCTGTGGATGTATTTCAAGGCCCACCTTCAAATTCAGTGCCTCTTTGCTTGACATCATGGTAAAATCAAAAGAAATCAGCCAAGACATCAGAAAAAAAATGGTAGACCTCCACAAGTCTGGTTCATCCTTGGGAGCAATTTCCAAACGCTTGAAGGTACCACGTTCATCTATACAAACAATAGAACGCAAGTATAAACACCATGGGACCACGCAGCCGTCATACCGCTCAGGAAGGAGACGCGTTCTGTCTCCTAGAGATGAACGTACTTTGGTGCGAAAAGTGCAAATCAATCCCAGAACAACAGCAAAGGACCTTGTGAAGATGCTGGAGGAAACAGGTACAAAAAACACGGGGGTGGCAGCATCATGCTGTGGGGACTGGTGCACTTCACAAAATAGATGACATCATGAGGAAGGAAAATTATGTGGATATATTGAAGCAACATCTCAAGACATCAGTCAGGAAGTTAAAGCTTGGTCGCAAATGGGTCTTCCAAATGGACAATGACCCCAAGCATACTTCCAAAGTTGTGGCAAAATGGCTTAAGGACATCAAAGTCAAGGTATTGGAGTGGCCATCACAAAGCCCTGACCTCAATCCTATAGAAAATGAGTTGGCAGAACTGAAAAAGCGTGTGCGAGCAAGGAGGCCTACAAACCTGACTCAGTTACACCAGCTCTGTCAGGAGGAATGGGCCAAAATTCACCCAACTTATTGTGGGAAGCTTGTGGAAGGCTACCCGAAACATTTGACCCAAGTTAAACAATTTAAAGGTAATGCTACCAAATACTAATTGAGTGTATGTAAACTTCTGACCCACTGGGAATGTGATGAAAGCTG